CAGTATTATGATATTTGCTTTAAATGTAAATTCAGGGAGTAAAAGTAAAAAGTAAAAAGTCATCAGAAAAATTATTACTGAGGTGAAGTACAGATACCGCACATATTTTTGATTTGTTTTCACAGCACAACAGAATAATTGCTTAGCATAGCATAGCATAATGATATTTTAATAAAAAGGTCTAACTGAGCAGTCTGGTCATCAGATATGTTGTAAAATACCAACTAGCATCAGGACAAGTCCAAACCTCTCCATTTGTTCTGATGATGAATGTTTCAGTCTATCTCAGTGCTTTGCAATACCTGTTCTCTATGCCTGACAACAAAAATGTAAATAATACAGTCTTATATAATTATATTTCAATGAGAAGTCACATCTGGATTACTTGGTGACTGGTACCCACAGCTGCCTGTCATTTTTTTTATTTCCAGTGACAAGCTGTTAACTTGAAAATCTTGTTCACGCTCTACTGAAGTACAGACTTAAATAAAAAGTTGACACTTTGTTAAAGGGCCTTCAGTTCCATGGGGTAGTGAAACTCTAAAAGCCATGTACATACATTTGCTGTCATCACATAACCTTCAGAACATTGATTTATTCAACAACAATTGCTGCAGGTGCTAAACACAGATTGACAGTAAGCATCACTGTTGTCTTGATCATGCACATAAATATTTAATATTCTACCAGAGCACCTACAGAGAGAACTAGTGGTCTCATATCTACACTACTCTGTACAGAGTGAGTGTCAAAGTGTCCTGAGGCAGAGTATCTCAGAGGAAAACAAAAGACCGGTTACTGTATAGAGTGAGCAGCAGAGGACTGGACAAAAGTGGAAAATAAATCCAGCACTTTATAAAAACACTCATGGGCCATAATAAGAGTAGGCAGTTTGTTTGGAGAATTTTGTGTGTAGAGGCATCCCCTCGTGCAAATTACCTCTTATCTCTCTCTGTATTGTATAGGCTGCAGTTCTTGCTGTCTCCATCATCGCCCTCTCTGCATCCCTTTAAGCCCACTCTACCGAATCTTCATCCTCTGTTTCTCTTACTCTCATTTCTGCCCCCTCTCTGAAATCTCTTAAATTTCCATTCTCAGACACTTTTTGCATTAATTACTGACATTCCTTTATCTGTTTCTGTATATTTTGCACTTTTGCACGCTCTTAAAGGTTCAGTGTTTAGAATCTCATGACATCTAGCGGAAAAGTTGCATGTAGCAGATGAATACCCCTCACCTCACCTTCCCCATCCAAACATGACTAAGAACCTGTGGAAGCTTCAGTTGTCATTAAAACTCAAAAGGTGTTTAGTTTGTCCGGTTTGGACTACTGTAAAAAACGTGGTGGTCTCCATAGAGAGGACCCGCTTCAGATGTAAATATAAAGTATTTAAATATAGAGGGCCTTTTTTCTAGGGTAAAGAAAACAACAATTTGTACAATTTAGATAATCAGAAATTAATATCACTCTGAATGTAGTGAGAGAAACTCCTGAAATTTTCCTCCTGAAGGGTTTTCCCTTTAACCCCTTTGTCATTTTCTATTGTTTTTGCCACAAGAAGAGATCAGATGCAGTGCGTCAGACTTGCAGACTTCCAGAGAGAATGCATTGTTCACTGTAGCTTCGAATTTATTGCATAACAAATATAATAGGAAAATAAGATGTAGTTGCTTCAGTTTTTCATTGAAGCGTTGCCGATGCCATTCACCAGCTGACGCTTTCGCTGGGCTGAGGCTGTGGTCAAAGACAGTATCTGCTGTAACCCGCTTTCTCTTCCTGACCATGCGCCATGCCCACCAACTTATAGGGGCGTCCTCCTCAACTGTGGGGGGTGTGCACTTTACTTGCAAACACAAATATATAAAAAATCGGTAAATTACATATATAAGAATAAACTTAAATGTGGCTCCTACACTGATTATTTTATATTAAATTTCGGCCAATAAATCCCTCTCACCTAAATCTTACACACTGGACCTTTAAAATATAAAATATAGGAGTTAAAGTTGTCATTATAAAAATTTACTACAGTTTTTACTATCTGGAGGATTGAATCACACACACTTTTGAGATGGATACATTCTTGAGGAGTACTTTGATGTACTTTACATGGATTCACTATACTTGCTCATCTCTTGAAGGCTAACAACAAGCTCTGAAATGTGATGGCTGAATAAAGCAGCAGTGTCTCTGAAATCTCTCACTACCCCAAGCCATCACATGAGGAGAATCAGCAGCAGTTCTTCTTGTACAACAATGGTCCCGGCTACAGCTGGGTGCTGGACTCTAACATGGACAAAAATCATTGTTGAACAATTCTGTTTTCCTGTTCCAGGGTAAGGGTAGCCTAAATTCATAGTTCACAAAAAATGAAAATTCACTCATTATCTTCTCACCACTATGCTGATGGAAGGCTGGTGAAGTGTTTAAGCCCACAAAACACTTTTGAAGTTTCAGGGGTAAATATCGTTGCAGTCAAATCCAATACAATTGAAACTTGTGACCAATTCGTCATCCAACTGTCTGTAAAACCTGACATTCAAATTCAGCTTGAAACAGCGTCATTTACACCATGTTTTTAGCCAAAATATCCGCCTGTTTCCTCCTCCTAGCTACTTCTGCATTAACTGCAGCTATTACAAGTTCCTGAGATATTATTGAGTTCTTGCAAGACGAGATCAGTGAGTTACTGCAGCAGTAACTGCACCTATTGCAAGTTCTCACGATACTCATGCGTTGTGAGGAGTGTTTTAGATTCAGAGAAAAAAACATGTTCTCCCACACTTCAGTCAAAGCATTATCATTATGTGTTCTACAGTCATCTCTCCACTCAATCTTACTGCTAATAAGTTTTCGTTAACCCAACCCTAACCCTAACCATCAGTGATAGTATTTAAATGCAACACTGTTAGTCCATGCATACCAATATAGTAGTTACTCTGTGGGTCATTAAGCATTTCTTAATGAGACCTAATTGTATAGAGACCACTGCTAGTGCTATGTTGTGTATCTTGACTGTGTCACTGTGTATCTCAGCTTTATCCAATTACTGACTGATATTCTGACCATATTCCACCCATGTATTTGTATTCTTTTCTCCTCATTTTATGTTATTGCTTTTTGTTTGTTTATTCGTCTGTTTTCTTATTGCTGTATTTATTTTCTTTGTCTAGCACTCTCGATCCTCATTGTGGAAAGGGCAGTCTTGTCTTGGTTGTCTCTGTAGCGCTTTTGGGAGCTTAGTATACTACTCCCCTGCCCTATCCTTGTTCTATTATTCTGTGCACTATGGAGTGCTTTGTGCCTGTTGTGTCTGCTTGTTTTATTGAGAAAAAGTGCAAAAAAATCAATAGATAAATAAAAAGAGGGAATTCAGCTCAAAACTGGTGTAGACACTGTGACAGAACAGAATATTCATTGTTTTAAGTAGTCATAACAAAGAGCCCAAAAGTGACAAACAATGCAACGATGCATCATATGACAAATATTTTACATTTTGAAATACTTGTACTGAGAGATAAATAAGCAAAAGCAAGTAGGACCAGCCTGCTTCTATCTTCCTCAGTCTGCTACTTCATCTCATTAGTTATTGGTAAGACTAAAATAAGGGGTGTGAGGAGATATCCGAAGTGCCAAGGTCTTCTTGTAATGTGGAGGAAATCCAGAGTGTCGTTCATAAGCATGCCGTTACTCCAAGGTAGTTGTCTACATTGGTTACGGTGATGTCACTAACCAAACACTGAAGTATGCTGTCACTTATCTTATTAATACAAGAAAAAACAGTGAAACATTGCCTTATTTTTCTTGTCTGGTTCTTTCCTTGTTGAACACTTCATCAGGATTTTAAGTATTCCAGGTCTGATAGCAATTTATCTGCTATTTGAACATAACATAACACAATCTCTTATGGAAACGTGATCATTCTTTGGGAGGGATGATCTTTACTACAATTACATCGGAGTCATAGTATAAGAAGAAGTAAGTGATATACAGAGGGATAAAAGGAAGTCCACATTGAGGTGGATGGATGTCTCAGCAAAAGCCCGGAAAGTAGAGACATAGGAGACCACTCCATGTTTCCCATTTGGAAACAAAAGTCACTGTTGATGTTGTTGTTCCATAACGTTCCACGTAACCACATGTTTATTATTGTAACCCTGGTGACCAGCATATCAAATTTGTCTCTCTTGTGTTTGTGCTTTCTTTCTCTGTCCCTCGTGGCCACTGATTAGTGCCAACAGTATGTGACACTAATCTCACAATTTCACATCACACATGACTGTTCCCACACTAAGGTTTTATCTTGGCTTCCTCTGATGTAAAACTTGTGAAGACACAGCAGTGGAGCAGCCGGTCACAGTAACCTTGTGGTCAAACAACTAACCCACAGAGCGTAAGTGTAGGAAGGGTGTTTGAGTGTTTTTTATTGATTGAACTTGATGGGAGTGGGAGTAGGTTCAAGAGATAGTTAATTGGAGTGGTCCTACAAACCTCATCATACCCAGCTCACAATTAAAACTCAGGGATCAGACTAAAAACTAAACCAAACCAAAGTTGCTGTTAGTTTTTCAACTCTATCTGAGCATCAAATGCCATTAAACAAGTAAGACCAATCTACTAGCATCTCAGATGTCACACAGGACAGGATAATATTCATGAATTTATTAGAACTCCTCGCACCCTGTAGTTTTTATAAAGCAGTATCTTTTTTCAGGCAATGGAAATAGGAAAGGAAGCTCCCCATCATCATTTGCAAATCATGCATCTTTAAAGAACCATAACTCACTACAGCACTGTAAATGAACTGAATGGCCAAAGCACAACTCAGACAGGCACATTGAGTCAAGAAAAGGTTGTCTGTGCACATGAGGACAAGCTCTAATATCAGGGTGAATTGGAGTTATATAACCCTTTAGTTCAGAGAGGTGAGCCGCAGTAGAGGCAACATTTGGACAAAAAGTGGGACAAGGAGTCAAGCAGACAGGCATCCTGATCTTACCCTCTAACACAGTGAGCTTGGCACTGGTGTTGATCTCTCCAGCACTATTGGTAGCTGTGCATTCATAGATGGCCTCATCACGGTGAGTCCTCAAAGGCTGGATACGCAGCACAGAGCCTGAACCATCATCAAACTCAATGACCTGGTGAGATAAGAGCAAAGCATGATCAAACAGCTCATCTGTGGGAACTGTTGGGTTTCTCTATATTAATACATTTTTAAGGTCTTGACCTTCTATGTAAAGTGCCTTGAGATAATGTATATTAGGATTTGGCGCTATTCAAATAAAATTGAATTGAATTGAATCTGAATTGAATTGAATTGTATTTGTGACATTTCAGTTTTTCTCCCCTCAGGTGAAGAAGCATATAGCATAACTGATTGCCTGCTTTTGACACAAGTGTCAAGGAACTTCCTCAGAAAAAACCTAAAAATAAGACTTTTTAAATACCCATTGAGAAGAGTGAGAGGAAAAAGTGAGACTGACTTTCAGCAGGAGTTAGAACAAAATCAGTACCATATCTCCATGAACCGGTCTTTCATTGGTCTCTTTGAAAAAGTCAAAAATATTTTTGGGCTTTAATCCCCATATTCTTATGCAGCAACCACACAGCACTTTGCAAGAAATAAATTGAAGATCTTAAGAAAGTTTCAAACCATTTATTTTTCAACATACAAAAATACATACATATGTAAAAATGTACATCAGATCTGAGTACCTAGTATATACAATTTCCCAACTTCGTTGCTCCTGTCTCTATACTGTTGGTATTAGTTCCATGTGGTCAACCAGGCAGCAGTTAGTCAGCACACAAGCAGTTTTTTGTAAATTCTTATTTTTCACATTGGTCTTTTAGGGGTCTTAATGAGAGGCACACTGAAAGTCACCTAACAATCCTAATCCTCAAATCTGTTCTCTCAAGATGAACAATCATCCCAAGGTGGTTCAGGGATTTGTTGTTGAAGACTGATCAACATGTTTCACTTTTATCTAAACATATGTCTTATATCCATATTTCCATCCATCCATTATCTATGCCGCTTATCCTTTGAGGGTTGCAGGGGGAGCTGGAGCCAATCCCATCTTACACTGCACAAAAGATAGGATTCGTCTGGACAGGACAAACATAAAGAGTTCAACCATCACATCTATGGAGAATTTAAAGTTCCAATTAACCTAACCCCAATCTGCAAGTCTTTGGACTGTGGGTGGAGGCCAGATTACCGGGAGACATGCAGACTCAAACATGCAGACTTCACACAGAAACAACCTGTTTGCTGTGAGGTAACAGTGCCACACATCATGGTAGCTGGTTCAACCTGCTATAAATTTGTGAAATGTTGCCTTAATTCTGAAATTCAAAAATAATGCACTTTTGCATCCATATAACAACTACATCAGAGCACACATACATGGTATAATCCAATACTGTTGTTGTCAGCTATTGCACCAACTTAATGATTAAGAATTAACTTTGGAAGTGGGTAATAGATAAGATAACATTCCCAGATAACGATAAGAGGTTAATAAAACTGAATGATATCACGGAGGCATTTGCTACTTATTAAAAAGAATTATATAAAGTAGATCCACATAAAAAAGAAAAGATCAAATTGTTCTTTAGATCAATCAAAGTAACAAGATTGACATCAGAAGTGGACAACATGATGTTATCTCAAATCAAAGATGAAGAAATTAAAGAAAATAATTCAACACTTAAGAATAACAAATCCCCAGGAATAGAAGTCTTCCCTGGAGAATATTGTAAGAAAAATTGAGAATGAGTTAACTCCAATTTTATGCAAAGTATATAACTGCGCTCTAACAAAGGGGGATCTGCCTGGAACATGGTCAAATGCAGTAATAAGTGTTGTTCACAAAAATAGTAAGGACCCAACTCAATGTATGTCTTATCGCCAAATCAGCCTCCTATGTGTAGATGTAAAAAATTTGACCTCAGTTATAGAAAATAGAATGAAAAAATACATAAACAAACGTGAAGTAGATCAGACAGTAGATCCAGGCAAGAGATTTAGTTGTTCTAACTATTTTCCCCAAACTACAGCAGACTGATTAAGGAAATTAAAAAGCATTTAAGCAGATGTGATGTGCTACCCCTGTCACTTTTTAGCAGGATAGAGTCAGTTAGAATGAACATTCTACCCAGACTCCTTTTCTTATTCCAATCCCTCCCTATCCTGGTACCACAATCCACCATTAAGTGGCTGGAAAAACGGATATCAAAATTTATTTGGCAAAACAGGAGACCAAGAATCTGGTTAAAGATATTGATGGCAATAAAGAGAAGGAAGGTCTAGTTCTACCCGATCTAAAACTATATTACTGGGCTGCCCAGCTTCGAGCAATTGTGGGGTGGAGGGTCAAGGATATATTGAGAAGAATTCTCTACCAGGGATATCACTATCTACTCTCCCATTCCTTAGTCAACAGTAAAGTAAAAAACATATGGATCAAACCCACACTAAAAGAATGGGCTACAGTCAAAAATAAATTAAAGGGAACTGTAGCTTTGTCATGAGTCATGCTCACACAAGGGTGTCAGTGACTGTCTTCTGGACAACTGTCAAGTCAGCAGGCTTCCCCATGATTGCGTAGCCTACTGAACCAGCCTTAGAGACCATTTAAAGGCTCAGGAAACCTTTGCAGTTGTTTTGAGTTAATTAGCTGATTAGAGTGGGACATCATGAGTCTTAGAATATAATATTGAACTTTTTCACAATATTCAAATTTTATGAGATACTGAATTTGGGGTTTTCATTAGCTGTAAGCCATAATCAT